CTAGAGGGCTGCTGGGAGGTCTCCGTGTCCTTTCCAAAGGGATTCTCAACGATGAGACGCACCCAGCCCAGGCCGGGCCGCTGCATCGCCCCCTTGCGGATGCCTCTGCACGCGTCCAGAAAGGCGGCGGGTGGCAGGGCCAGGTAGAAGAGACGGTTTCCGCCCTGCTGCAGCCCTTTGAAGGAGTGCTCCATCTGACATGCCTTCTCCTTCAGACGTGCAAGGGCTTCGGCAGGGTCGCGGGACGCAGACACATGACTGATTTTCTTCAAAAAGGCATCCACGTAACAGCAAAGTTCATACAACACTGAGAAGCAGCTCGCAAGCGTTGTCCTTTTCCACTTGTCCACATCCTCAAGCTTGGAACGAGCATAGCCGAGGATGTTGACGTGCAGGGGCAGCACACCGCTGCAGTACAACAGAAAAAAAAAGAGCTGGAAATGTCTTCCTGTTGTCCAAGTCCCCACTTGCCCCAGGCGCAAAAACGATGGTGAGGGCCCGACTTTTCAGTTCCGGGGGCAACAGCATCGGGGATGCGTTCACAGGACTTCTCCTTCAGGCCCAAAGTGACTTTGTTTTTATTGGCGGCTTCCAGCAGGTACTCACGCAGCAGCCTTGCGGGTAGCCTAACGGCGTCACTCCACGCGGCGTACCGCACTGCTCCGCCTTGCGACGGACTTTCACCCCCACATCCTCGGCGTGGCCGCAAACAGTTGGTGTCACCGTTGCGGCTGCTGTTCAGTTAAAAGCGGCGGCGCCCGTCCTCCGGCGCACTGCTGCGGCCTGCCGCGGAAAAGCTCAGTAAGACAAAAGCGCCACAAACCTAAGCAGAAGGCGATAGAAGAAGGGAAGAATAACCGCGCCTCGTCTCCCTCTCTAGCCACACACACACATAAGCGCAGAGGGAAGGGCAACAAAGAAGTATCACATTTACATGCGTGCATGCGTCACATAACTTCGAGGCTTCGAATCGAAGAAGAAAAAAAGGTCAAAAGGCAAACTGGTGGAGACTGGCAAACCAGCTCACCTCGAAAGACCTCGAGACACCACCCGTGGAGACAGGAAAGGGAGGGAAACAGTACAGTGGCACCGTCTACTCAAACCTTGGCCTTTGTGGAATTTGGAAGTCCGGATTCGGGGGAGGGAAGGGCGAAATGTGTGAGAGGGCGCTCAAGCGCTGAGAAACCTCAAAGACGTCCGCACGCAGCGAAGGCTCCTTCACCAGCATCCTCGTCACCACCAGCTCGATGAGGGGACCGAATCCTTCAGGGATTGTCTCACACCTGCCCGCGCAAAACCGTCGCGGGACGCCATCCATAATTTCCATCGCATTGGCCTCAAACGGCATCTCGAAAAACACGAGTAGGTACATCAAAACGCCCAGACCCCAGATGTCCGCCTTTGTGTCTACCCGCCGCCTCGACCACAGGTCCAGCGACTCCGGCGGGCGGTAGAGCAGCGTCATTCTGTCGCCCAACTCGGCCTCGGCAATCGACACCTGAAGGGCGTTCTGCGGCTCATAGTACAGACGCGAGGCACTTCCAAAGTCGCACAGCTTCAGATTCTGAGAGTCTTCGAACAAAAAATTCTCCGCCTTGATGTCCCAGTGAGAGACCGGCGGGGACTGACTGTGCAGGTGGGCTACGACGCCCACGAGGGCATGGCCGACCTCGTAGGCCTCGCGAATAGTAAACGGCTGCTTAACGGCCATGCGCATATTGATGTAGTTCGCCAAGGAGGGGGCCTCCACACACTCCATCACGATCCAAAGCTCCGGCAGGGGACACTCGGGTCGCTCCACGATGCCAGAGTCGTAAAAGTTGACGATTGCGGGGTGCGGACAGAGCGAGCGGTGCAAGGCCGCCTCTTCCATGCAGTGCGCCTGGTAGTTGTGGTCCGTCAGCGTGAACCGCTTTAGCGCCACCGCGTTTCCCGCGTGCACATCCCGGCCCTTGTAGACGAAGGCGCTCCCGCCCTCCCCCAGCAACTGCCCCACGGCGTATTCGATTCCCCCCACCACGACGCTGGCGGGGTGTCTCGCGTTGCGGGGCAGCACGCCGACGTACGAGAGGAAGTCCCTCACGCCGCTCGAGCACGACGACAGGCCGCCGCCCATGGCTGCCAACCGCGCAAAAGGGCCGGGTGGGGAGGGAAAACAAAAAGCAAAGGGGGAAAGAAGAAAGGCGCATCAAATAAAAAGCAGCAACTTGTGCTTTTAAGCCCCAGAGAGAAAAAAAAAGGGCAACCCACGCGTTAAACGCGGCGGAGAGGGCCTCAAGTTGGCAGTCGCTCGCTTTTAAGCTCGGCGCTGAGGCCAGCCCGCAACTGTGCCGCCTGACGCGTGGCACTCACTTGCCGGCACGGAATTACGGGCGGACGCAACAAAGCCAAAAGCAGCAAAAAGAATACATAACAATACGCGACGCCCTTCTCATGCTCTGCTTTGGAGGCGAAAAGGAGACACAAATGAGGGAGGAGCTGCACAATTACACCTACGCCCCCCACCCCCACGCGCACACGCAAACGGAGCACTTGGGAAAAGCGAGACGCATCGGCGGAGCGGCAGGCACGGCGGGGCAGCGGACGCAGAGGCGCCTCATCCCTCAACGTCGTGGACCACAAAAAAAGCAACGACACCGCAAGCGGAGAAAATATTACAACGGCAGCCAGCACAGAAGCAAATAAAAAAAATTAACAGACACAACCGGCAGCGCCCCAACGCACACGTAGCCGACTGCTGCAGCGACACATGAGAGAAGTAAATTTATTTTAATAAATAAATAAATCCCCACAAGAAAACAAAAACAAAAATAAAAAACGGGGGCATTCAGAAAGCACGCAGGCAGGAATGGCAGACGCGCGAGCACGGCAACGGCCGCAACAGGCCTCGGAGGCCGGTGCAACGGAGCAGCGCGGTGAGGTCCCCCCGCGTCGTCGGGCGGAGGTGTGGGCAGAACTCGCAACGGCGGCACGCAGGGCACAAACATTTTATTGCAGAAGCCCCGCCAGAGACGATGCCGCCACCGCGAGGGCAATGCGGCGAATCGGGGTGGGACCACACATACGAGGCCCATCGCAAACTGCTCCTGCAAGGAGGGCACAAACAGAGCGAAGCAACGAAAGGAGAACTAAAAAAAAAAGAGGCGAGTGACACTCAACGGTGTGGGGCGGACGATGACGCCCCGCCGGTTTGCCCCGCATCTACAGAAATAATTTCAAAACGTCGCAGCCGCCCGTCAAAAATGCGAAGAGGGGAGCCGCCATAAAACTTTGAACGCTCACGCGGGGCACGAGAGGGGGAATGTGCCACAACGACCCGTGGAGCCCAGCAAGGCACGCCATGGAACTCCGCCCAACTCTGCTCAAAAATATTGCACCGCAAAAAGAAAAAAAAGGGCCCAGGCGCCTGGAACTGTTTTGCACTGCGGCGGGGCGGCGCAATCAACGCAACGTGCGCCGGAGCATGGGCCACGTTCTCTCCTGCAAGCGTTGCTTGCGCCCCGCAACACCACGTCTTCTCGTCTAGCAACTTCGATACGGGCACTCGCCGCTGGAGACAGAGGAGTGCCCGCAGCAGAGGAGGATCCCGTCAACGACCAACGAGGCATCGGCAGCGCATGCGCCCCTTTACCCGCCACGCGTGTCCCACTCGGTTACTCCTCGAGTTCCATTCTGTGAGGGGGCCGGGAGGCCGTTGGTGTCCTCCGTGGGGCGCGGCAAGTTTCGTCACGCAGCACCGACTACAAAACGGGCGTCCACGCGCCCTGCAATACAAATCGTGTGGCCGTGTGTGCCCCTGCAGACACGCAACGAAAAGAAGGAAGAAACAAAAGAAGAGTAGCGCATGCGAGGGCGCGCGCACACAAACGCACAGGCCGCAAACGTGCAAGGCGACAAGGACAACAAAGAGGGCTGGTGAGCCCCGAGATTTGGATTGCAGCCCGGGTGAAGGGAAAACACTCGGCGTAAAACAAGAAAAAAACAAAAAACAAAACAACATTTTGGGGGGCTACTGGGTTCATAGCCCAAAAAAAAAACACAAAAATAACAATCAAATTGTTTTACGTCTAACAAACCCACGGCTGCAGCATAAGAGCTGGAAAAAAAAAGGGTGGGGGCAATAAAGAAAAAAGTTCGTTTTGGTTAATTATTCTCCATTCTCATAGTTATCCTACTTCGGCAGCACCTCAATCACGGCGGTCCTGTGGCTCTTAAAGAAGACCTGCGCCTTTTCTCCGATGCGCATGTGCGCCACGGCCGCCGCGACCTCCGCGTCCGGCTGCTGCGCAACCGCCCCGTCGACCACAACTGTGGCCGCGTCGGCCGCAGTCACCGCCGGGCTGTCGTCAAGGTTCGGCGACAGCATCTTGAAGAACATGCCGTGCTCTTCCACAATGCGGCGGGCCGTGCTGAAAGCGAACCGTACGCCGTACTGGGACCACGAGCCGCCGTAGAGGAAGGTCTCGCCCAGGCCGAGGTGGCTCAGGACGGCGATGGACAGCGTCGCGGTAACGCCGCTGCCGCAGAAAAAGACGCAGTTGGAGGCATCCGCGTGGATAACCTCCCACACGCTTTCGAGTGCCTTGAGTGCGATGCGGCGGCACTCCTCGTCAGGCTTCAGGCACCTGTGTTGGTCCTTGCACTGCATGAAGCCGTCCCACGGGCACGAGAGGGCGTTCTGCACACTCCCTGGCAGTGTGTCGAAGCCGTGGGGCCGCACCGTCGAGGAGAATCGGCTTGCAGGGCGGGCGTCCACCATGACCGCGTTGGGCGGCACCTCCTCGATTGTGAGGGCGCGCTTGAAGGAGGTCGCGTAGGGCCACTTTTCCAGCGGCTCGACCTCCACCTCCGGGAGCCCCGTCTCCAGCGGCAGCCCCGCCGCGTCGTACGCCTGGAACCCGCCGTCCAGCACGTACGCCTCGATCCCGAGGGAGTGCAGCATCCACCACATGCGGCAGGCGCCCATGGCACCGCCGACGTCGTCGTAGCAAAGCGCCGGCCTCCCCGCGCCGATGGCCTTCGACTTGCACCACCCCACAAACGCCGCGGCGTCCGGCAGCGGGTGCCGCCCGGTGGCGAGCGTGATGGGCCCGCTCAGGTCCCCGTCGACGTCCACGAAGACGGCGCCCGGGAGGTGGCCCTTGTGGTACGCCCTCTTGCCGTGGGTCTCGTCGCAGAGGCTGTAGCGCACGTCGAACACCTGGAAGTCGGCGAGGCAGTGCGCAACGTCCGCGACGGCGACGAACACCTTCCCGGGGTGCCGTGGCGTCCCGCTCGTTTGCATAGTCGATTGTTTCTTTTGCGAAATTGCTTCACACTGGCGTGGCGCGGTGGCCGCCCCAAGAGGAAAGAAAGCGGACGGCGGCGGGGAGGAGACGGGGCGTGGCTCTCGAGTGAAGCCCACGGCGAACAGCAGAAGAAGCACACATATGCACACTGACAAAAAAAAGGTGAAAAGGGAGTATAGGGCGAGTTGGTTGCCTTCCACGCCAGCCCAGAGAGAAAAAAGAAAGAGAAAGCGGGGGGCAACGGCAGCCACACGGCGCAGCCGACGTTTGCGCCATTTCACGCTGCGGCGGCCCTCGTCACGGTGCCCCCGCCACCGCAGCGTGGCGGAAGGCGCACACGCACGCACGCACAAGCACCCAAGCGAGGGGCACCCCGCGCAAAGTGCCTGCGAGTTGGGCGTCAGTGAAACAACTCCTCGCCTGCGGCCCCGCAGCTGCCGACGGCCCCACCGCCCCGCAACCGACGCAGCGAGGGCAATCGCGCCAGCGCCAAAACTACGCACCTCCGCCGCCCTCCGCCGCCCCGCAAGCGGGCTGCTGCCCACCGCACCCCCAACAAAAGAAAAAACCACTACGCCCAAAGCACTCCGTCACCGCGCAGGCACCCCACGCAGTGGGTTGCGGTCGTTGACGTGCGCCTGCGCGCATTGCGGGCGCCCGCACTTCGCAGCGAACCGGGTGGCCGCCACACGAAACGCTCGTCTCGAGCGACGCGGACGGCAGCGCACACCCCGCACACATTACCGCTGAACAAACCTCACGTCTGCCACACGATTCCCGCGGCGAACAAAATGGAGGCAACGACGGGGGACGACCAAAGCACGACCAACGCTGCCCCCTGCACGCCACCTGCGAGTCCCC